CCCTGCACCAATATTGCGTAATGATGTAATTAGTGCCGATAAGAGCTGACTTGAAGAGCCCAATCTTTGGGTGAGATCCGCAGTGTATAAAACTGGTCCGTTTGAAAACTTGGTCCGGCGGTGATTAAATTTTTGTTAACAATAAGCTCCAAGCTATGTTCATTGCAGACAACAGTGAGTGTGTTTCCATTACGTTTGTCTGAGTCATGGGGGACGATTTATTTGGGTCAAATTCGTCAAAATGCCATTGCAAAAAATTGAAATTCAGTTTACCCTGCATGCTATTTAACTGAACCAATCCGAGCGCGTGTTATGTTATTGTCGCTGTTCGTCCTTCGTTCGTCCTGCGCGCGTTATAATGAAACTTTATTATAACAACTTGCAATGACCAGGGGCTATTAAATTCAGGCCTCTGTTAAGGACGGTGCTTACCAAATGCAAAGGTTTTTGCGCCAAATTAGGAACACGCGGAAAACTTAGATCCGTTCAAGGGCTATTGGAATCCACAAAGAAAAATTGGGTTAGCCACGCATATTTTCGAGACAAGAGATTATCAAGGTAAGAGAGTGAATCCCATATAGACCCTCTAGCTAACGTAATCCCTCCTAAGTTATTTTTTAGACGTTGTACCCAGTTCTTCCGCGGATATTACTCGCGTGTTGCGTGGATTTTTTCGTGGAGGATCTGTTTATGTATTTACGTTTCGTTTCAAAGCAAAGGAAAACCTCCAATGCTGTGGGGATGTCTTCTTTGATATTTTTATTACAAGCAAGGGAGCTCTGGCTGTCGGTATGTTTTAATACATTTCGAAACTTTAATAGGAGTTTGAATAAGAGACGGATGTCCCCGGCACAAACAATAACAACTGAATGAACGGCAGAGAAATGTTTAGACAAACGAGTGCAAAGCAAACAAACGCCCAAACACAAGCTAGGCAACCCNGTCCCCGGCACAAACAATAACAACTGAATGAACGGCAGAGAAATGTTTAGACAAACGAGTGCAAAGCAAACAAACGCCCAAACACAAGCTAGGCAACCCAACAAACATATCGTCGAAAGTGCAGGAAGACGCTCGCTGCCCAAGTAGCAAAAAGAAGTTTAAGCAGCAAAGGCAACGCCAAAGGCAACGTCGATTAAAAAACGACGTAATATTCAACCTACGAATCTTGCGAGTATTAAGATTCATTCAGTGTACCTATGCTGTCGGAAATATCCCAAACAGAATATGTAAGAACGCGTCAAAATTCGAAACAGGATTTGAAAAATTGGCCGTTGTATAGTTCACGTTCTCTCGAA